TTTCTAATATTTCAGTCTCGTCTATATCCATCTCAGTATTTTGAGAGTCTTGTTCTAATTCTCCAAGTTCTGAGTCAACTTCTTCGTCATCATTGTCATCACTAGTATGTTTGGCCTGTTTATTTTTGATGATTACTTTATCTATTGATGACTCTTAGGCACAGGATTCCCTGGATTCCTAGGATTCCCATGGGATTCCCGGGATTCCCGTGAGATTCCCTGGATTCCCTGGATTCCCATCGGATTCCCATGGGATTCGGAATCCCGGAAATCCGCCGTTTCGCCCTTGAACACAAGAGTCCTTCGACAAACAAACGACGCATTGTGCATATACAAAATTCAACCAAGTTGCAAACTATTACTAGTGAGATTCTCCGATAAGTTTTATTTTAATTTTGGTATCTTGGTAAGTAACGTACGAATATAATTCCTAAGGAAATTTTCCGGTTTTTTAAATGTCATAAGCATAATAGATGCATGACTAGAATATTAATTCCAAAGAATCGAGACAGATATGATATGGCAATTAATCACAGACCTTCGTGTATCTGGACAACTGATGATTTTTTCTTAGTCAGAGGTCTATCCAGTGTATTTACCTGTATGTATCGTACACAGTCTCATTGATTTAATGATTCTATCTTGTAGAATTTTCTCTACAATTTACATGATTACCTTTCTGCGTTCGTGTCGTATTCTATTCATATTCTTTTCGCGATTGCCGATATTAAGATAAAAGTATCAAAATAATGTAACTGGTAATTTCATAAGATAAGGAACAAAGAGGATGCTTTCATGCTTCGAAAGTTTGCCCATGAAGAAGAATGCGTGAATCGTTAACAGCGAGAGTGAAACAATTGTGTAAAAGTTCCGGTGTGGACGAGGCTAAAAAATGCCGCACCCACACCAACACCCATACCCACACACCCACACCCACACCCACACCCACACCCACACCCACACCCACACACCCACACCCACACCCACACCCACACACCCACACCCACACCCACACCCATA